AAAATTTGTTATTCATAAAAATTAGCTTTTGATGTCTTTTCCAGTACGATTTTACAAAATTTGTACAGGAAATCGCATGATCTGGAATACAATTTTGAATTATAATTAGGAGTGATGTTTTCAAAGTTTTTCAAAATTTGACGGGCCTTTACTGGAAATTAATTAGAGGGCTTTATCACACGTATTTATAAATTCTTAATTGTAAGAGAAGATTGTATTACTTTTTGTTTATAATACACTCAACAAAATTGAGCAACTTAATAGACTCCTTCACAGTTCCCTGCGCCATCTTGAAAGGTAGCCGTGCCTTGAAGCGAGACGAAAGGTGAGCTTGCAATGATAGAGACCTTTTTTAACACCTTGGACAATTATTCACACATATCTCTATCATTGCAAGCTCGCTTCAAATGGGTCTATTGGGATTTAATTGTACTCCTCTTGTCCAATCACAATCGAGTAATTTTGTTGAGTGTAAAGACCAATATGATTTTTAAGTTTTTTGGCTGAATTGTTGAGCATATTTCATTGAAATCCTTTTTCATCAAGGAAATCAGAAGAWTATTTGGTCACAATGCTATGATTCAGAACTTTTGTAAAATACTTGAAAAATATTGTCGAGTTACTATATAGAATTGGGGAAGGGGGTGTTAGTAAGATAAAGCTTATGCAACACTTTTTATAAATTACGATTTAAACTTTTGGTCCATATTACATAATAATTACAAAAAAAAAAAAATTGAAATAAATAGTGCTAAATTTCGTAGTTAAATTGAATTGATTAGCACAGGTTGAAGTCTGATGCGTTTTTGAGTCATTTTAAAAGATCGAATACCCACGTGCAAAGGTGCATAAACACGTGCAAAGTCGATGTCAGTCAAGTCCACACAAAAATTTAAAATTTTTCTAGAGAAAAAATCTTACCTGTAAAAACGGATTAAAAATTTCGAATCTTTTGCAATCAGGGAGTCATCGAGTTCATTCTATAAAAAATCAAACATTAGATCAGATAAAATCGGGAAGAAAATCATGAAATTCTTATAACACAAGCCGAAGCATGGGAGTAAAAGTGTCATATCAGATGATAAAGGCTTCCAAACAATCGCGTACCCTGGTGTAAACTTGTATTCTTGAGCAAGATTCTCCCTGCATTCAGTAAGGACGACATGTTTATCGGTGAAGGAAAGGTTGGTAAAATTAAGAGTCTTTTACACAAATCTGCCAAAATACGTCTGCAACGAAATTCGGTAAATAATTGCGTAATGTACGACCAAGGGGTATCATGGGAAGATAGCCATATATAGAATACCACAGGAAGACCAGCATTTGAAATAAGAGAATGTTGGTATGGGTTCCCTGTGCCTTTGTTTAGAAGCTGTGGTGTTTCTTGATTTCTCCACTATTTTATCCTTAAATGCAACATAATTAAGGTAACGGTCAATATTCATGTCGGCGGGGTGGGGATTGTATGAAGTTCTACATTCCCCTTTCTCCAGCCAAAAAAAGCGAAGGGGAGCGTCCTCTCCCTGAACACTCCAGTTCTGCCATGACACCCGCCTTCCTTTCTTCAAAAT